GTCGATTCTGAACTCTAGGTCCGACATCGTACTAATGTCCGTATTGAGTAGGTACCTGGCTGACGGTACTAACTCTTGTTCTTTTTGCTGAGGTGATTTTTTTCGTCTTGTCATTTTGTCCAGAGGAGAATAGATGAATGAGAGAACAAAATGCTAACAGGTTAACAATGTCCCCAGCAAATATACTGTATACAAATCAGAAAAGACCTGAAACCAGGGGAAAAGAAAGGGAAAGAAAGAGAAAAAAAAAGAAAAAAAGATAAAAACAAAAACAGAACAATACAAAAAAAGCAGAATATGATCAAATATGATCAGGCTAGTGCATAGATCAGTGCCACACACTAGATTTTGGGCGTATTGTGGTCTGTTAGAAAAAAGTGCCTCCTAAAATTTTAAAGGAAGAAAGACATATATGTACAAAATAAGGGTTGATACAATGAAAGGATGGAAGATGACTGTAAAGATGAAAATTATATAAGATTTTATAAAAGGAATTAAGATAAGTTGTTTGAAAAAAGAAAGAAGATTTAAAAAAAAAAGGGAGAGAATGTGATCAGGCAGGAGACTAGAACAAAGCCATACACTAGTGATTTAGGGTATATTTTGATCTGTTAGAAGAAACTGTATCTCAAAATTTTAAAGAGAGAACAACTTATATATATATGCCAAAAATAAGGTAACTACTATGAAGGGATAAAATATGACTCTATAAATGAAAAGTAAAAAAATGTTTTTTTAAAAAGGGATTGATAAGATGGTTGAAAAAGGGAAAAACAAAAATTTAAAAAAAGTTAAAAAAATTAACTTTGATGAACTAATGAATCATGGTTAAAAAAAAAAAGCCATGAATTCTATGTGCAGTATTCCCCTAGTGCTGGAGTTCTCCCGTTCTCCTTGATGGGTAAACTTGGTCTTGGCTTACTGGCTGTTCATGCTGGTCTTCCGGGGGAGGGGCCTGTTGCCGTGGTTTCCAAATGTCTTTGCCTGAGGCTGAATTGCCCCGCCCTCGTCGGTTGGGCTAAGGAAGCTGCTCGGTTTGCTCTCAGGAGCTTTTGTTCCCTGCAAGCTCTCGGTACAGCTTTGGAGGACCAGGGCGAAAATGGTGGCCTCCCAATCTCCGCCCGGAGGAGCTGAGAACTCGGGGCCCCGCTCCTCAGTGCGCCCCCAGAGAAAAGCAGTCACTCCTGTCTCCCTGGTCTCCGGCCGCACTCCGTGCTCACCCGGCCTGTGACAGAGCATTTCTATCTCTGGCACCCGACCCCGTGTGGAGTCTCCAAACCCAGCAGATCCCTGCGGTGCGCTCCCACGCCGCTCCTCCCGGGGGAGAAAGGGGAGTCTCCCCGGCTCTGCCGCTTGTTGGGTCCCTGCTGGAGAAGCAGTGGCCCAACTGGGCCGCGGATCACAGTTTATGGCCACCCCGAGCTGAGAGCCCGCGCCTTGGCTCCGTCTCTGCAGCCGGCTTCCCCGCTCCGATACCTGGGAGCTCTGCCGCACTCAAGCACCCCCGGTCTTTCTGTGACCCCGAGGGTCCTGAGTCCACACTGTCCCGCGAGGTTTTCACTTCCCGCTTAGCCACTGCAGCGACGTCCCTCCGCGGAGCCCACTTCTAAAAGTTCCGATTTTGTGCTCCGCGGCTCTATCACTTGCCAGAAGCGGCCGACGGAGGCCCCCTCCCCTGCCGTCTAGCCTCCCGAATATCGCCTCGAATTCCCTTCTCCGCACGTCCTACCTTCCAGTAAGTGGTCGCTTCTCTGTTCAGAGAGTTGTTGCTACTCTCCTCTTCCATCTCCTGTTGAGTTCATAGGTGTTCAGAATGGTTTGATCCCTATTCAGCTGAATTCCTGAGACCAGACGAAATCTAGGTCTCCTACTCCTCCGCCTTGCTGCCGGAAAGCACTTTCAATATAGAATCTTGGTCTGAGTTCTAAGTGATAAAGAATAGCTTGCCAGCCTAATTTTATATCTTGCTTAGGCCATTTTATCACAGTACTCTTGAGAAAACCAGCACTACCCAATCTTGTACAGCTTTAGCCCTTTTTATATTTTTCAGATGTGAAATAAAAGTATCTTTTATGATAACTTGTTGAGATTTGACTCCCACTTCCGGTACACTGTCCTAAAGCACCGCTCTTTGAATTTTATAGCTGGTATACCAGTTTACTAAGGAATCTTAATATCAGTGTTCAGTAGAAAACACTAATAGGAGACAAGTTTCCTAAATTGATGCCTTCTCAACCTCCCAGTGGTGTGCTAGCTAGGTATTTGAGCCTGTGCCATGGTAAGCATTGGGTGGCTCCCAGGGTTAGAGGGCAGAAAGATCCCTGGTGTATACTTGAATTGATCCAACTCCAGAACTAGCCTGTCCGCTTCAGGCATCCCTCCAAACTTGAAGTGACCTGGAGCTGAGCCCACTATCTCAGCTGTGACCTCTGTGTCCATGGCCACAGTGAGAGTATGCAGGCATGAAAGCTGCTCTGCTTTTTTATTGGTTTAGGTAAATATGGGAAGACTCCAGAGGCTTCCCTCCTTACTCAGCTTGACTCCCCAGGGTCCGCTTGGTCTACTTCCCCATTATCTAGGCTTCATCTTTTATTCTCAACTCCAGCCACACTGGTCTGTGTTTGTTTAGACAGAGTCCACTTTAGTTCTTCCTACTTTAGAGCCTTTCCACTTGCTCTTCCCTCAGCTGAAATGCTCCTACCCCAGCTACTCATGGCTTCAGGTTGTGACTCAGGGTCACCTTTTTAAGGAAGCTTTCCCTGGCCACCCAGGTCATCTACATTTTAAGTACCCTTTATCTGCTTTATTTTTTCCCTCAGTATTTATCATGAGCTAACAGAATATAGAAGTCATTTTACTCATTTATGTTTTTTGGTTTTTTTTTTTTAGTTCTCCTATTAAGAGTGTGAATTCCATCAAGACAGGAATTTTTGTCTTTTTTTCCCTACTATATTCACAGTGCCCGGTACACTAGGGGTACAGACTAGGGGTATGATAATTTGATGAATTAATTAATATCACATAAACCCAGCTCACTTCTTATAAATGAATATGAATTGCTCCTAAAGTAGTCTTTAGAGTTGAGCAAAAAGTAGATGTTATATAATTTTAATTCAAGTCAATCAATATTGTAGTAGGTGCTAAGCGGGGGAGCAAACAAGAAGTAGGGTTTGCTATTCTCTATTGTGCCTTGTTATCATTCGAGTCACACATCAGTGGCTGATTGTCATTGCATTTAAGTTCTTCCTTTTCTTACAGTAGGCTTAAAAGAAGGAAAAATTTTCCTTTACTCATAACTATCCAAAAAGTAGAAATTTCCATGAGGGCTGTGTGTTTCAAGAAAGAAAGGAGGGAACCTATTTCTTTGAGTAATTAAAGGATATTCCGACTTACTGATTGTACACCTGGCTCACCCACTAAATTACTTATCTGGCTACTATTTGAGTTTACTTAGCTACTATTTGAGAGGGTATTTGAGTTTTCAGGCCCCTTGATGAGACATGGTGTAAATGTTTTAAAGTATGCATAAGCCAGTACGTATAATTGAGCAAAAGCAAATTATGCCCTCCATAAGGACTAGATTGATGGTCTGAACTGTAGAATAGGGGGCTTGAGCTAGGTTTTGAAATAGATACTTCTTTTTTTTTTTAAGATTTTATTTATTTATTTGACAGAGAAAGAGAGAGCACAAGTGGGCAGAGCAGCAGACAGAGGGAGAGGGAGAAGCAGGCTCCCCGCTGAACAG